TTGCATCAAAACTTCTTTTCTATTGTTTTAAGATGAAGCTTATTTGTTCCATTAAATCCTTTAAATCTTTTTAGCAGACCTGAAATTAAACGAAATAAAACAGAAGAAAGTACAATTTAGAAAAGTCTTAATCTCTTTGTCCCAGAAATTCGTTTTAATGCAGACTTTCACAACAAAACGTTTGAGCAACAGGAAGGACAGAAAAAGGACATTTATTCTCTCAGGTTGTGTAAGAAAACGAGCGGATGGAGCTGCAGAAGTGAAAGACACTTCCTGTCTGTAAGGTGAGCGATGGCTGTGTTCACTATCCACCTGACTCTCATGTATACTTTAATGTAATTTCATCAGAAGATAAGCTTGGTGGAAAAACGCAGGCAGTCAATGATCAGAGCACAGTGGGAAACCCAAAGCGCTGTCCTCCCATCGCTGCTCACAGATCTACGCTATTCAACAATAAAAGCAACATTTTTACAACTAAACCTGGAGATTCTGTTTCATTGATGAGGTTTAAAAGCTGAAAACACACCTGGAGATCCAAAGACTATTCCTCTTACAACCTTATAAACTCAGTGATCCATATTTGCCTGATATTTTGTTTTTCTTGTATTTAATCATTGTTATTATTTAATCATTGTTATTATTTGATCATTTCTGAAATTTAAATTATTTGTTAATTTAATTTATTTATTTTTTTTGTTACTAATATTATTGTCTGAAATAAATAAATATTCATTCATTCTGTTTGGTGGTATCTACATAAAGTTTGTTGCTCTTCATAGCTCACAATAAACACCGTGGCTCCATCTTAGGACCCGTCCTATTAAGGTCCTCTAAGTCAGATCTTAACAAACAGCATTGGTTACCATAGCGATGCAGGCATCACTATAGCCTTTTCTTAATCTGTGTACTTGTGCGTTCTCGTGTCCTCGTGAAACATCATCATCCTCAGCCCTAGTGCTGTTCCAGTTCACAAGAACAGCAGACCGAGAACAGACAAAGTCCCCAGATGTTGTTCTGGCCCCTCCCTCTTTACCCAGCATGCATCAGAGCATCTTGTCCGTCCTCCAGACTGACAGCTGTCCCAGCATGCACTGCAGCAGCAGCTTCCAGGTTAGCGCTCACAGAGCTCAGAGGATTAAGTTAAAGGTTCAATAAAAATACGTTTTAAGATCATTAGAGGCGAGAAAATTATACTTTAAGCTTCACTTTATGGAACATTTACTGATT